ATATGTGTTGAGTTACGAATAATTTCAACGTCGTTTAAAAATGCACGAAAATGAAAGTTCTTATCAAATATTCTTTTTAATATTATTATAAAGATTTAATATTTTGTAGCGCGAGGGAGAATACTGAAGGAGGGGGTGTTTTAAATAGTAATAAACAATTGCAGATTGCAGTGCTTTTAAAATTATAAAACACTACGAAAATGGAATTCGTTATCTTTATGGTACGATCGTTTTTTTTTTTAATGACGGTTTTTTTTAATATTACCATAAAGTTGTAATGGTAATGTATTGTGGAGGACGCATAATTAATATTTTTGTGTGAATCTGGGTCCTAAAACTTCCGAAAATGAAGAAACAGTACTAAACATATATTTATTTGGTAACTTGTACATAAAAGGGTTTCTTTCACAATAAAAGGAATTCCCAAAGATTTGGCCATGTTTTCTTTTTTTTTCTTCTTTTTTTTGAAAATACACGTCTAAATCACTTGTTAAAAATACCATTCTAAATATGTAACAATACCCGATTGTACTCCATTTCGGAACACATAAAATTCCTGGATATACACAACACAAAGATTAAGACTTATCCGTTATATTGAATGAGAGATTTAGTAGTACGTCGTTTGTAGAATCCATTTGAACTTCAAATTGTGATTCTGGAGATAAACTTGTTCGTCCAGATTGGAGAACATCGGTAAATGATTCGGCCTCTTGATATGAATCAGTGTTGGCATATGTAGCAGTTTGACTTTTCGAATCGCTCTCCATACTGGAGTTTGAGCTTTGGCTAAGCGGTTTCGAGAAGTTCCTCAATCCGTCTATTCGACTGCCTTCCTTGTCTTGGACTACGTGGTTTTTATTCTCTGACGAATCAGTGCTAGATGCATCGATCTTTTTCCATTTTGTACGACGATTTTGAAACCAAATCTTCACCTGCAACCAACGATTTAAATGTGTTATTGTTTCATCTCAAACAATAAAAATATAATGGTGACTTACGATTACACCCAATTCAATAATTTCATTTTCAATCTTCTAGTTATTTCAGGAACTTTTTTTGAATTAGAATATTGTCCTAGGTTTCTTTAATTTTGATCTTCTAAAGGAAAAATAAAAATTCCTTTTAAGCTTTACGCTTATCTTCACGGAATTTCTATACAACATTAAACACAAACTGGATATTACATTTTGTAGTATGTATAAAAGAACTGTTTTTGTAAATTTTAATTAAAAAAAAAAGTAACCAAATATAATACAGCTTACCTGACAATTTAGTTTTTTTATAGTTTCATTCAAAAGCGAATCAAATTAAATTTTTTTTAACTAAAACTAAAAACAAATACGCAAGCATACGCGCTGTGATAATTATATTATCGTTTTTGTTTAAAGTTGAACATTCTCTGCACCATAAAAGGTGGTAGAATATTAGTTTAAGGAATTTACACACGAAGAAGTTTGGAATATCTTTAGAGAAATACAACGAATTTGTGCATATGTGATGTATAGGTAGGTATGCTATAGCGAAGGTATTTTGTAGGAAGTTTATAATCGAGGCATTTACTTACATACTATACATAATAAAGATGTATACATGAGCTCAAGCTAACTGCATTTTCGTTACGGTAATATAAAGTAGATCGAGTACGATGCGTTAATTTACGTTAGAGTATTGGAAAATGGGTTTTAACTTCAAAGTCCACCACCTACCCTAATGCATTTTAGCTGAATCTCAGGCATAATGTACCTTATAATATATTCGACCACAATTTCATAAACACTAAATTGCTATATTAGCTAATTAAGTAATATTATTCACCTTGTCGGCGAATACATAATGAATGTGAATATTCATTGGATTTGTCTCTAGCAACAAATTACTGTTGTTCAATTTGAGCATTATTGTACATAATTAATATGAAGAGTGCTCAATGCTCCTTATCGAAATGTGAAACATCATGTCAAATTTCTCATTACGATCAGCGCTTATTAGCTACGTTTAATTATTTCAAATATATTCTATGCCAGAATGTGTAATTATCTGTTTTTTTTTTTTTATATTTATTTATTTATTTTAGAACACCCAGTATACGTGGCGGTGGCGCAGTAATAAAATTTCCAGAGTAGAGATTAATCGGTAACAAAATAAATTTTTTTGTTAAAGCCGATCCGACGGGAAAGGCTGGGGTAGGACTTAGAGAGTTTTCTATTTATATCATAGTTGTTGAAAGGTTTAAATGGCCATTTGCGGTGGTCTGTGAAAGAGGGTGAATTTCCCTTGCTTTCCAATTTAAACGCCACTGGCTCGTAAAATCAATAACTTTTACTGGAGGGCAGAAAGTGATGCATTTCATGCAAAACAAAAGATAAACCGTGCATTACGGGCGTTTCGGTGGAGCGTCAACTTTTGCCCCTGTTTGATGAGCTATTGATCATTTTACAACCCCTCTGCTTTAGCCTAATCGGTCCAATTACAGTTAGCTTAATCAATGAGAAAACGTGAGCGTCAAGTCGCAATTCAAATTGTCTCCTAATGATGCATTATTACAAATTAACTTCCAGATGTTTCTTATACCTACAACCTTCCTATCCCGAAAATACATCGCGACTGCTATTAAAACATTAAATGCTTCGTGAAGAAGGCTCATGTGTTAAAATACACCTGCTTGCTGCCCAAAAATAACACCACGATAATCGTTTCTCACTGGCGAATTCGAGAAAACGAAACCCCAAAAAAAAAATTTTTTAAAACACTAACTTCTACAAATGTTATTCCTACAGGTAGGCACATGCCTAATTTATTTGTAATGAATGCGTTATAATTTAAACGATTCCGGTTAATTCAGTATTGGAAATGTACATTAATAATAATACAATCGTTTAATTGTTCAATAGGACGGAATTGAATTAGTGCAAATAAAACTATTTGCGAATGTTTATGTATGTAACCAGAGAATGAGAGAGAGAGAGAGAGAGCGCAATTACAATTAAAAGTGTAGAAGCGTCTGTATCACGTCTGTTGGTATTTCAATTCTCCGGTGGAGTTGGAAGGGCAGACGGTATTTGCGGGGTGGCATTCGGGGATCGGGGGTGGAGAGATGTATTAGCGAGCACATCGATTAACGTTTCAACTGGAAATGGCCACACTACAGCAAGTTCCACCGTTTTAGTCCCGATTATCGCTCCATTCTGTCGTGTTTTCGTTTCCCCTTTGCCTCTCGTTTCCTGTTAAATTAACCCGACAAATTAAGCTGTTGGCCAAGTGAATTTTTATTGGCCTTTTAAGCTTGCCGCATGTTGGCATTCATCGCTTCTCGAACAACAAACAACTTTCACGCCTAAACTTCATCATCTCAACACCGAATTTTTATACAATACTAAAATCAACACCATTAATGCATCCACTATAACAAAAGTCCGTAGTCGATTAATTTCTAATTGTACTATCGATTTTACACTTCGCCAAAAACAACTCCCATTATTCTCATCAACTGAAGTACACAGGGTGGATCTGTATTGACGTTGCGACCTATGGACTTTTTATTAGGTCTATCTTTGTTGAAATACTTTGTAACCCAGTAAAAAAGACGTATCTATAATAACAGGTCAATTGAAAAGTCCCCGGCCTAAAATAGTAAAACACATTTTTTTTGCAAAATTCCTTTTTTTTATTCAACATAATTCCCTTCAAGGGTGATACACTGATTATAGCGATCCTCCAACTTTTCGATACCATTTTTGTAGTACGATTTGTCCTTTGCTTCAAAATAGGCCTCAGTTTCGGCGATCACCTCTTCATTCGACGAAAATTTTTTCCCAACGAGCATTCTTTTGAGATCTGAGAACAGGAAGTAGTCGCTGGGGGCCAGATCTGGAGAATACGGTGGATGCGGAAGCAATTCGAAGCCCAATTCATGAATTTTTGCCATCGTTTTCACTGACTTGTGAGACGGTGCATTGTCTTGGTGAAGCAGGACTTTCTTTTTCTGCAAATGCGGTCGTTTCTCGGCGATTTCGTCCTTCAAACGGTCCAATAACGCTATGTAATAGTCGCTGTTGATGGTCCTTCCTTTTTCAAGGTAGTCAATGAAAATTATTCCACGCGCATCCCAAAATACAGACGCCATAACCTTGCCAGCCGACTGTTGCGTTTTTGCACGCTTTGGAGCGGGTTCATCGTGTGCAGTCCACTCCGATGACTGTCGATTGGACTTCGGAGTGAAATGATGGAGCCATGTTTCATCCATTGTCACATATCGACGCAAAAACTCGGGTTTATTACGCGTGATCATCTTCAAACACTGCTCTGAATCATCAACTCGTCGTTGTTTTTGGTCAAAAGTGAGCTCGCGCGGCACCCACTTTGCACAGAGCTTTCTCATACCCAAATATTCGTGAATGATGTGATGTATACGTTCCGTTGATATCTGTAGAGTGTCTGCTATTTCATTCAATTTCAATTTACGGTCATTCAAAATCATTTTGTGGATTTTTTTAATGTTTTCGTCCGTAACAGCCTCTTTTGGGCGTCCACTGCGTTCACCGTCTTCGGTGCTCATTTCACCACGTCTAAACTTAGCATACCAATCCTTGATGGTTGATTTTCCTGGGGCAGTGTCCGGAAATTCGTTATCAAGCCAAGTTTTTGCTTCAACTGTATTTTTTCCCTTCAAAAAGCAATATTTTATCAACACGCGAAATTCCTTTTTATCCATTTTTTTCACAATAACAAAAGTTGCTTCACTAAAAATGCTATAATTCACAAACTAATGATCCGACAGCCGTCAAATTTATAGACGCATCTTCTGAAGATTAGGACTAACTGAAAGTCATATGGATTTAGTTCTGGTGCCGCCATCTATGTGTCAGGCCGGGGACTTTTCAATTGACCCTATAAGTAATTCAACAACAAATATTGTTCAAACGGTCTGATTAAATCGTTCGAAATCTCTCACTTTCAACTGCTGTCAAAATCGTCGTCGGTGGACACGCACCTCCTCTCTTCTATCCTGAACCAATTTTAACATTCATCCAACCAATATCCCTAACTATTCCTGCTTTTAATTTATTCTAAAAGTACCTCACTCCTAATCCTAATCTTTCAGAAAACTGGGTGGGATCTACGCGGTGATAAAAACATTCTTTTCATTGCTCCTTCTGAACAATCTTTGAACCATCTTCAGATCGTTGTAAATAGATACAGGTTGAAAGATTACTTAAGAATCTAGTTAATGGGCTGTTGGTATTTTGTCAATGTGTACCTTCATACCTATCCATTTCGCCATCAAGCAGTACGATTTATCGCTCAATAAATTATGTCGACGCTCTTTGTCTGATACACGCATCCAAAACTGTCACAGACGTCTGCACGACACCCGGCGTTTAGTTCACAATCACGAAATTATATGCCAAAGATTATCACTTGTCATCAACCTGACACTATACATGTGCGGTTCTCTATGTATCGTGTATACCAAACTACCACTCTACCACGTCAGTGTACACAATTACAATTATTAATTAACTTAATTTGCATAATTAGAAATAGATTCCGTTTTCACAAAAACACTACTAACAACATCATTTTTACATTTATATATTACTTCATTGACACTGCTTAAAAATATCTTTTAATTCACATATCTAAAGGATTCACTGTTTTTCAAAGAACAAAAGCAAATATACACTGTATGTTACACTTGACGCTTGAGTAATAAAAAACTTATCTAAGTGTTGTGGTGAATAAAGAACAATGAATAATAACACATGTTTTACCGGAAATGATGTCAGTATTTATTGTCGCCATACACAATTTTTCGTAGATTATGCCATTGCTTTATAAAGAGAATCAAACCACTAGCAGTGTTTATGGCTACATCTTCTTGGTGTTCAACACAAAAAATTTTCATCAAGACACTTATAATGCAAACATTCAA